GTCACACTTGTAAAGGTAGAAATTTTGTAACAAAAAACAGGGAGTGACTAATCTTACAGTCCAGAAACAGAGGACCCTAGGACCATCAAGAGAGGAACGCACAAATAGAATGCGGGACCTTATCCAGAGAAGCAGCAGTGCCAGAGATGGAGGCAGAGATGGGGGCATGGAGAGGGGGAGTGGCTGAGGACTATAGATTCATCAACTAAGAAAAGAAGGACTAAAGAACTGGTGACCAGGAGCAGACTTGCAGAATGTGCCCTTTGGAGATGTAAATTATTATATATGCCTGAGTGGGTTTTTTGTTTTTGTGTTTTTTAGAAAGCTAAAGTGGATAGAGAGAAATACTTTTAACTCATGGTATGTGGAGGGGATTGTAGTCAATGTAATTAAACAAATTATATGAATGGTTGAATGTGAAACTGATTATGTGCCCTGTAAACTTCCACTCAATCCACAATAAAAACCTTAAATTAAAAAAAAAAAAGAATGATCAGGATATTTCATCTTCAAGTGTCTTGTGTGTCATAATACTACAACTGCTTTGCCAAGTTGCAGATTAAAAATATTGTTATATTCAGTCTTCACTTGCAGAGTACACATATCAATGAATAACGTCCTCAAACCCTCCTCGCCCCATACCGTGGAAGGTCAAAGGTCTGTTGATGGGAAAGTACAGACAATATGAACAAAAACATGCTCTTTCTTTATCACTCAGGGCCTCTCTAGCACTGCCTCCTCTCCTCCCAAATCTAATATGCCACAAGGCAGAAGGAGAAGCCAAAGAGATCATGAAGGTCTCATCCAACCTTAAGTCTTAAAACCTGTTACTTATGATGCAAGGAGCCCTGGTCTGGTGCTGCAGGATGAACACTGGACTGCTAACTATAAGGTCTGTAGTTCAAACCCACCAGTCATTCCTCAGAAACGCTATACAAGGTCACTATGAGTCAAGACTGACTCAATGGCACACAACTACCACCACCAATGAATTATGGGCACTCTCAGGAATTTGAGCATTATTTTTTAGATATAAGTATTATCTTACAGTGAGTCCTGGTGTGGTGCTGTCAGATAAGCATTTGACCACAAGGTTGGTTAGAACTGCAAAGTTGGTGGTTCAAACCCACCAGCCGCTACTCGGAAACTTTATACAAGGCCGCTTTGAGTCTGAACAACAACAATTAACCTTACACAGTGAATAATGTACTACATTGCTTAGATGAGCTCTCATTTTAATTTGGCTTCTAGAACAGACCCTCTTAAATATACTGTGTATGTCTTGGAGGAGTCCGGATGTGGCATCGTGGGTTAATGCACTGGAAAGCAAAGTCAGTCTGAACTGCAAGGTCAGCAGTTCAAGCTCACAAGTCACTCTTTAGAAGTCCTATGTAGGGTCACTGTGGGTTGGAACTGACCTGACACTTAACAACAACAAAATATGTCTTGGAATCCTCTGAAGAATGTTACAGAAGGTGCTCTGTGTAATCCTCTGGATGTCTGAGTTTAGCAAATAAGAAGTGAAAAATAAACATGTATTCTAGTCATGCAACGTTATCTTTTAGCTCATGTTTGCTTTTTAAAAAAAAAAACACACCATAAATTATTGCATATGACAATTATAGATGCCACCCTAGATAGTGGACTCTTAGTGTGGCACTGTAGGATCAGCACTGGACTGCTAACCACAAGGTTGGCAGTTCAAATCCACCTTTGGAAACCCTATACAGGGTCACTATGAGTCAGACCATACTTGAATGCACTTAACAACAACGACCCTGGATAGTGTAATTAGTCTGCACTCAACTGCTAACCTAGAGGTTGGCGGTTTGAACCCATTCAGTAGTGCCACAAAAAACAGGCCTGACAACCTGCTGCCATTAAGATCAAAGCCAAGGAACCCGAGGGAGCAGTTCTACCCCAACACATGCGGCCAGCCTCTTTTCCTCCATTGATTTAGCTTAGCTCTTCACAAGGGAAGTATCTTACGCCTTTGTGGCCTCCAAAAACAAGGAGATTTGGCGCTTTATGTAAGGCTGCCTCAGGACACTCCTCACAGATGGTCTTTCTTCAGGCCTTCTGCTCAGCATTGTTCTTATTAGTTCGGCCAATTCCGGGCTATAATCTTTTGGCATTGGTGGCAGCTGCAAAGAGAATACAATTATGACTGTATAATGGTTGTGCAGCAAAGTAAAAGAAGGTAGAGGTTCCCCAATATTTATGTATAAACATACATCCACATAAACAGAAAACAGTCAGCATATTAGTCTACAGGAAGCATGCTGGTGTCCTAGTTGTAACAGCAAGTTGTAGGATTCTAGAGCATATCCAGGCCAGCATTCTTATATGAGGTCTCTCTCCTTCAGAAATAAAAGTATGAGTTTCTACACATTGATGTAGCAGATGGTCACTGTAGTATTGTTCGTGCAGTCATAAATGACTTGGAATAAACTTAAATGTCCATCCATAGAAGACTTGTAGAATAAATTATGGAACATTTTCTTACAGAATACTAGGCAGCTACTTAAAAAAAAAGAAAAAGATTTCTAGATATCAACCTATATCTAGAAATCTAGATATCTAGAGAATATCTCTCAAATAGTGTCAAGTAATCAAGCTGTGGACCAATGTGTTCAACCTGATCCCATTTCAGTCTCTTCTTTTAAGTATCTCTGGGTATATAGAGTCCTGGTGTGGTTCTGGTAGTCATAACTGGCTTGATGGCCCTTAACAACAACAATGAACATATATGTACCCAGTGTTCTATCTGTTTGTTGTTGTTAAATGTCGTTAAGTCCGTTCCAATTCACAGCCACACTGTATAGGGTTTTTGAGGAATGGCTGGTGGGTTTGAACCACCCACCTTGTGGTTAGCAGTCCAGTGCTTATCCTACACCGCCACACCAGGACTCTTTATGTCTATACAAAGATGGGAAAAGTCAGGAAAGTTAAAGCCAAATTGTTAGCAATGGTTATGGAAGTGGGAAGGAAGATGGGAGAATTAAATCCTTTTCTTATTGGATTCTTCTAACAGTGGAACTATGAGAAATTTTTACCTTTTTGTGTTTTCCAATATTTTCAAATGAAAAAATTCAGTGGGTCATGAGATGATTATGACCTTAAAACATAGTGGTATGAAGGAATTCACGGCAAGGTGGCAGACTAGACAGATGCACCACATAGACCCTCTATAGCAAAGATACGTGAGACCAAATGAAACAGACACAGATGGGAGCTCAGAACTTCAGAGGAAAGCTGAGCGAATAGGATTGAGTGCCTACTGGGAAGAGAAGTTTAGCTGGGATGGCAAGAGAGGGAGACTGACGGGTTAAGTCCCACCAGACAGGTCGGGACCATCTTGAACTTCTGTGAGCAGAAAGTGGCCTGGCAGAGCAGATTCACACAGGTGTCAAGAAAGGTGTGATTCCTTCTTTTTCTCCACACTTCCCTGATCACCAGAGGTGTAGCCAGCTTTCACTGTCATCCATCCCCAGAGCAGACCCTGCTTTCCAGGAAGTTGGGAGCCTCATGGTTGTGAGCCGTCCCTGTGAGGCAGGGGCCGATTTAATCGCTTTGGTGCCTGGATTCTGGTAGCTTGGCTCCAGAC